TGCATCTTGGGGAGTGACAGACCATACCTCATTTCCTCCAGGGATCACATCAAGCTCTCCTCCAGGGATCTCCTCCAGGGATCACATCCTGTAGCTGTCTGTAGGAGACCATCATCTTCCCTGTTGTACTAAGAGGTACAACTGGCTTTATGGTGTTCTGCTTTTTCGATGCATGTGTGTATGGGGGAAATTATTCACTTGTGAAAACCAGGGCCTGTTGGGCTGGGTCTCCCAAAGAGCAGAGGGCAAGAGAAGGTGCCTGAGACTAAGCCATCATCTGTCATTTCTGATTTGTACTCTGGTCAGGAGCCAAAAGCCTACGCCAGAAGAGTTTCAGTATCCCCTGAGGACATTTGTGCTGCCTGAACCTCTGGCAGAGTTTTGTCCCCTCTTTCCCAAGCCAGCAGGCTCCCGACACGTCTTCTACATAGAGGAGACAGCAGGTGCACCACCTAAGCTGTCTGTCTTGGGCAGACGTCCAGCTGCTCTGCACAGATGACCATGCAGAACTGCCAAGGCTGAAAAAACAGCTCTAAAATCTGTCTCTGAAATGTTTATGGAGCTCGAAGTATGCATGTTGACAGAGAGCCATAGGCCAAAAACATGGGAAAAACCCAGAGCAAGTAAGATGTCAGTTATGCAGATTTTGTGGTCATGTAATTTTCAAAATACTGGATGCCTGTTTTTGAATTACCAAGTTACCTATTCAGGTATAGGTATTCAGAGGCAAAAAAGAAAACGTAAATAAATAATGTAAGTTAATGTTTATTAATAGATTCCAGTATTATCTGGTTTTTCTACCCAAAGACCCCTCAATAGGTTGCAGCAACAAAATAATGACAGCTATTTGAAGACAGATAATGAATCAAGATGGGTAGCAGTGTTAGTCTGTCTGTAGCAGTAGAAAAGAACAAGGGAGATTAAATAATGAACCACTAAAACAGATGTTGGCTCCTCTTGTAGTGAAGAAAAAAACGATGCTATTGTTACCATACGTGTTAAGAGTACCTGTGTTCTCTAGAGACATGTCCACATACATATGGCCCTGTATTCCTCAAACGGTGCCCATGCCCACAGATATGCCCTTATGAATCCAATAAGGAGAAATTAGGTCTCCTCTTCAGTGTCTCATTCACTACCCACATTGCTGCTGGCTTGGATGATAACACTGGCAAAGGCACAACTTATTATTGCTAGGAGCAGTATCCTAAATCATACCTGAAGATCCAGCAATAACCCTAAAAAAAACCAATTTAAAGCAATGGCTAGCATACCAGCTATAACATTATCTTTGACTTGGCAATGAAGTGCTAAAACAAAGCCCAAATAATAATTAAGTGCTCTCAAGTTGCAACCAATTTACGGCAATCCTTCAAGGGGTTTTAAAGGCAAAGAAAGAAGCTTCCTTTGCATAGCAACCTTGGACTTCCTTGGTGGTCTCCCATCTATGTACTAACCATGGCTGACCCTGCTTAGCTTTCAAGCTCTTATGAGCTCAGAGGAGTTTGAAATATGCACAGAGCCCAAATAAAATAAGAAAAGAGGTTTCAGTAGCAGAAATCATACAGAGCATCAAGGTTAGGGCATTAGGCACATCTGGAAGAAAGAGTGATTTCAAACATTAAGAGCTACCCAACTCAAATGGAAGTACTGGGAAAAAGGAGCAAGAGAAATTGAGACAGGGAGGAACAGCGAATAACCACCAATCCTGAGATGTAAAGGAGGGTCCTGCACTAGTGGGGGAAAGGCCAGTCTGCTGTGATGGTTAGAGAGTGTCAGACCAGGATGGAGAGACCCAGGTTTGAATCCACCACTCTGCCATGGAACCTTGCTGGGTGATTGTTGTGGTGTTAAAATGGAGAAGTGGAGAATGATGTAAGCGTCTTTGGGTCCCCATTAGGGAGAAAGGCAGGGTATACATTAAGTAAATAAATACGATCCAGGAAGTGGGGCATTTAATAAATCCCAGCGGAAAGCAGAATTTCATGTTATGCATCAAATAAACAGCTGTAGCAGTTCTCTATAAATGGCTTATCTTGGAGGGCAAACAAAAGCTCTGTCTCTCTCAGTGAAGAATTCTTTCCTTCCTTACAGGACAGTTGCACACACAGAGAAAAAATTCTTTCTTTCTGAACTTGGGATCAAAGTGGGCTAGGATACATTGTATCAAATCTGAAGCCATCTAGCCTAAAATAAATTACGGAGGATGAACAAAAAAGAGCAGGTTCTTTGGGCAAGATCCCAATGATTGGGTGCCAACTCAGGGGTGGGAAATTCCTGGAGATTTGGGGTGTGGAGCCTGGGGAGGGAGTTTGGGGAGAAGAGGGACCACCTTGCCCCACATGTTCCCCCAAGGGCACTACGGTCGGGGACCCAACATCTATTGGATGTTCCAGGTCCCCGGGCTATCAGACTTACCATGACCAGGAATAGGGCGTTCTCGGTGGCGGCTCCTATCTGGTGGAATGAGCTCCCAGAGGAGATCAGGGCTCTGCGGGACCTAGCACAGTTCCACAGAGCCTGCAAGACGGAGCTCCTCCGCCAGGCTTTTGAATAGGAGCCGCCACCACTAGTGCACCACCAATGCACTAGTCTACCATCAACGCCCCATATATGAACATCAGGAGGGGGGACGTTCCATCAATACCCCATAATCGCTGCACTATGGGCGAGAACGGGAGGTGTTGGGG